GTTGTTTTGGTGGGGGGGGGAGGGGGGGGGGGGGGGGGGGGGGGTTGCCTTGTGCCCCCCCTGGAATTTCTTCACACCCCCCAGGGGGGCGCGCCCACCAGTTTGGGAACCTATGCTGATTTAAAGTCCCAACTGAGGCTGCAAGTTAATGGCCTGAGGAGGAACTCACATGGCAACAGGAAGCTGGTCCAATGCTCTAGGTAGCGTTGTCCTTTCCCCTCTGGACCTGGCTGACGTTGCAGCTCGCAAGTGAAACTAACCTTGGTAGCTGCACACTCCTCCATGCCTGGTGGATGTCTGTCTGTCCAAGGCTATCCTCAGGACCTGTAGGGACCCCAGCAAGAAACCAGGTGGGCCCTGCTGAGGTAGGATTCAACAGGAAGCTGGTCCAATGCTCTAGGTAGCGTTGTCCTTTCCCCTCTGGACCTGGCTGACGTTGCAGCTCGCAAGTGAAACTAACCTTGGTAGCTGCACACTCCTCCATGCCTGGTGGATGTCTGTCTGTCCAAGGCTATCCTCAGGACCTGTAGGGACCCCAGCAAGAAACCAGGTGGGCCCTGCTGAGGTAGGATTATGAGGCAATGTGGAATTGGGCCTTTGGTAGATCAGGGGGAGAACCAGTTCAGGAGCTGTCCTGTACCCCTACTGGAAGAACAGGATTCTGGGCAGTTGCTGGTAGGTAAAGTTGATTCCAGTGTTCGGCAGGCTGTGGGGGTTCCCATGGAGGCCTGGCTCTAAGGCAGTGTTTCCCAATTGGTGCTCCGGGGAACCCTGGGGATCCGCAAAGCGAAAGCAAGGGTTCCGTGAAGAGCCAGCACTCCCCCGCCCTCTGTTAAAGAGACAGAGCCTTTTTTATTTTTTGCTCAATGAAACGCGGCAGGGGCCTTTTTTTTTAAGGCAACTCTAGGGGTTCCATGGCCAAATAACATTGGGAAACACTGCTCTAAGGGAACGAGACTATGCCTTCCCTAGCAATTAAATCCAATTGGAGCAAAGCCAGTCACACCTGCAGACATGCCAGGCGCTGGCCTGGGCAGGAGAGCAGGTGTAGGGAGAACCAAGCATGCTGAAGCAAGAAGAAGGATGATCCAATGAGGGCGGGGCACTAGCCTGGGGCTTCAAAGACACATGTTCAGTTCCTTGGTCTCCCACAGACATCTGGTGTGACCTTGAGCAAGTGGCTTAGTGTACGTCTATACGGCAAACAAAACTGAAAGCAGCAGCAAGTCTCAGAGCTCAAAATAGACATTCAGGCTTGACGCTGGGCTCTGAAACCTGGGAAGGGGAAAGAGACAGACATTAAGAACCATACGGGTGCTGAGATCCAGTGTCAGTGAGGACACAAGACAGACTCCTGTATCCACAAGACTGAGCTCAGAGCCCAGAGAACACGAGCTAAAGATGGGCCCGATACCAGGATGCAGCTCCTCTCACGTTTTCTGAATCTGGATCCAGACTTCACAGTTGTACCTCTCTCTAATAACATCTGTATCAGGGAGAGACCTGGCCCGGAGTCTGGTTTGTCTGCTGCCTCAGTTTCCTCTCTCAGAGCATTCATCTGCAGCTTCATAGGCTGCTTCAGTGCTTGTATGCAGGAGCTTCCATATACTGCAGCCCTGAGGCCATGTGGTCCTTGGGTTAAGCCAGAGTTGGGGCATAGCCTGACTTCTAAGGGCTCTTTTGTCCTCTTCAGGAGTCTTTAGCCCTTTCCTGGGCTCAGCCTCCAGCCCACTTGGGCTTCTATCAGTCCCTTCTCCTTAACAGCAGGCGGTTGCAGCCACTTGTGGGTTGGCACTTGGGAGTACCCTCCCTACCTTCTATTACAGGTCCCTAGCCTTGCATAACTCAAAGTGCCTTGTGTCCCTGGCACAGGACCTCTTCTTGCAATGCTGTGGACCATCAGCAAGTTCCCCATGAACTATGGGTGATCTACGAGCCAACCACAAGTGTGCAGCTATGTTTTGAACATAGTACAGTTTAAACTTCTCTGGTCTGAGGCCAGAGGTGAAAGTAAGCAAGTGCACACTGTTGTACAGCTCCAGCAGGAGCTGGCTGAGCTGTGGCAAAACCCAGCAAGGAGCTATTCAAAGAGCTGGCAGGGACTGAGGTTGCAATAGGACAGTACCTGTAACAAATTTTAAGTTACTTTCACCACTGTCTGGGACACTGTGGTCTAGCAACATCCATGGTCCAGCAGATGGACCGCAGATGTTGCTGGACCAGACAGCTCTAGGAATATAGAGGCAGTGGCCTAGGCTGGCCCTGGGGAGTGAAACCCTGGAAGCCTACCCTTAACATTGAGACTATTTAAAAATAATAAATATTGGAGGGTTTTTTATTTGCCTTTAAGACAGGGGTGGGCAATAATTTTTGGCCAGGGTCCACTTCAAAAATTTCTGAAGTGGCCTCAGGTGGAAGGGGCGGGGCCAGGACACTTCTGTGCTTCCCCACCCATAGACCCTGATTGGCCTGGGGGTAGGTGGAGCATGCAAAGTCTTTGCTCCCTCCCTCCCCAGAGAGAATCGCCAGCTGTTCTGAACAGCTGGCCA